TCCACAGTTGTTGGATTTCAGATTTTTCCTTTGAGGTTTTAAATGGTAGACCTGAAAGAAACAAATGCTTTTTTTTTTTGTTTTGTTTTTTAATTTTTAATAAATTGTGTAGTTAGATATAGATAAAAACTTGGTGAATCTCTTGATGACTATTCCAAGGTTTTTCATTTAAAAGATAAACAACCTGATTGGAGTGAAAAATATAGTACAGCTATAATATTATTATTGTTATGACAAGGGCTCATTATTTAGAATGAACTGTTCTGTTATCTGTGCTATCAAAGGAACTTGACATTCTCTACAAACATGTATGCATTAGCAGAATGGGATGAGGGACACCGCATGATGCTTTAAAAGAAGGATTAAGTTTAACGAAGAATTATTCCATGGAGTGTGGATGAGTAAGAGGCAGTAAAATCCCCACTGTCTCCTTTATTTGTAATTGGTAGGGATGTTTACAGAATGATGTAATCTGAAAAATGCTTTTATTCCCAGCAGAAATTATCCATCATATGCAAACAGAGTATTTTCTGGCAAATCTCTGCTCTGAGCTGATGGCTGGGTTTTAGCTTGTCAGTCTTCTCTGCTTCTGCTCATGGAGCAATGATGTGCTGCTCAGGTATACTCTGAAATTTCCAAATTTGCCTAAGCAGAAAAGACCAGCAACTGTGTCCATTAGTCATTGGAGGAAACATTTATTTTCTGTGCCTTCCTCTCAGGGCTCTGTTAAGGGTCTCTGAATCACTGGGGTTGTGACACAATGTTGATAAACTTGGCTGTGGTTTATGGGGAAGGTAATCTGTCTTACTCTGACCTGTGCCCTTTGTATTTGGAAAGTCAGCATGGAGCGTTCAGTACACCCTCCTCCTTCTTTCCTATTGTTAGTTTGTGTGGCAGTGGGCCTGGCTTATGTGTCATGAGTGTCCTCAGGTAAAACATACAACATTTTCTTGAATGCATTCCCATGTGCAATCAGTATGTCATCTCTGTGATGTTTTTGAAGGTATGTCAGCTTGTGTCTACAGTAGAACTACTGCAATTGGCAGAGGTAAAGGCTTTGGACAGCTTCATCCTTGTTCGTTTACAGAAGTCCAGGGAAACCAGAGAAAGTGCTGCATGAATGCTCTGTGCCAATGAGAGAACTTTCTCCAAGAAATGTGCCATAAATGTGATGTTTTTTTTACCTAAACCCATCTCTTCTACCGGAAAATGATGGAAAAGACCAAAAGACTGTCATTGCAATAGCGGCCTTTATTCTAGGCAGGCAGCCTGCTGATTAGTGCCCATGGCTCCAGTAACTGTAGGCACAGAAGAAAGTGCTTGGGGGTGAGAGTAATGAAATGTGTATCCTCCTTCCTTGCCTGCAGGATGCTGTGCCAGCTGAAATGTCTGATTGTCCTTCAACTTAGCTCTAGGGTAGAGTAAACCTAAATTTTGTGGCTGTGTAAGGACAAATAGCTTCTGTGAGGGGGTAAAAAGTAAGAGAGAGTAAACTTTAGACTCCTATTTTGTTCAGGCCTAATATTGAATTTATGAGAGGGAACAAACTGGTGGTGTCTAGGATAATACCATATTCTTAATGGTTCAGAATGTCAAACTTTTTTCAGACTTTACATTTGGGGAGAGGAATAACACATTGCTTTATTTTCCTCTTATGTTTACAGAAGAGAAAACGAAAAACTTCATTTGGTCACTCTTAAAACTCTAGTGCTCTTCTGCAAGCATGACACTTCTCTAATTAGTAACTTAGTAATCCTTTTGCATGGAATCCTTACTATGCCTTCTCTCTCTCACTTTTTTTTCTAAATAATTGTTCACATTACCTTTTAACTTAGTTTTCTTCCACATTCTGAAGGAATCAGCCATGGTGGGGGAGTGGAACCAATTGCAGTTAAAAACAAATTAATTTGCATGTGGAAAGATTTTCTTTTTGAAAATACTGAGTACACTCTTCTATGAAATTGCATATATGAGACAAACTAACAACTATTTTTGTATATATTTAACTTGATATTTATCAAAAACTTATTAGAACCTGCTTTTCTGATGTAGTAATTTAACCCTGAACACAGACAGCCTTTCAATTTCTCTTCAAAGTGCTCTTGAAAGATTAAATCCACTGCAATGACAGTGAAGAGAAAGAAGGAAAAGAAAGCTTAGCATTGCATCAAAATACGTGGGGGGAAAAAAAGATTAAAATGTTGTAAACATTGAAAATCCTTCATGTGTTGTTTCCATATAAAGTGCTTAGAGCCTTGGATTTTCAACTCTGTCAACCTGTGTGGGAACCAGGAAAGTTCTCCATACAAGTATATAGCACAGCCAGAACAACTTTAAGTATTTCTTCTGCTTCTTAATACTACCTATTTCTTGCTGGTACTCCCCAGCAAGAATAGAATTTTGTAAATTAACAGCATTTTGGGCATCCCAGCTTATTTTCAGTTGTCTTTTGCTCAGTACTGTGCAAGCTATATAAAAACAAATATGTCAAGGCTATTTCTTCCTCTGTAGCGAGCGAATGAGCTTCTGTTTTGGAGGACTTGTTCAGAAACTGGTATGTGGTTCAGATGCATTCTAAGGATGAAGTAAAAGTTGGAAGCTCTCCCTGAAGACAGGACGTGGCTGGTATATTTGGCAGAAAGCAGATAAAACAGATAATTGTAATGGTTTAACCCAGCAAGTGGCTAAGCACTGTGAGGTCATTCACTCACTTCTCCCCCTTCCTGGTGGGATAAGAAAGAGAAATGAAAAAAACAAAGTTGAGCTTGTGGGTTGAAAGTATTTACTAAGATAGAGAAATATAAAAATAATAATTATCATAGTAGTTATGATAAATATATAAAAATATGTAAATAACTAAGCGATGCACAAGCAATTGCTCACCACTCCAACTGAAGCTCAGCTAGCCCCTGAGCAGAGGAAGAGAGAGATGAACTCCCACCTCCTTCAAAACTCCTTCTGTGGGATATAATATGGAATGGGCTATCACTTTGGCCAGTGTAAGTCAGATGCACTAATTCTGTTCCCTGCAAGCTCCTTGGGTCCTTCACTGAAAATGGCCTTGGCTCTGTACAACCCTGCTTAGCAGCAAGTGTAAATGTTGGTGTTGTCAGCCTTTTTATCTAGAGCCAGAACATCGCATCGTACCAGAAACACTGAAGAAAACAATTCCCAACTGAAAATAAGACAACAATTTAAAAGTGCTAATAATTTAATTTTTTTTTTTAAAAAAAAAGCTTGTTCATTGTTTTTAAGGTCCTTTTTATTGGGCAAAGCTCACAGGAGGTTGTAATTCCTGTTTGACTAGACTTGCACAGGTATTAATACAGCCCTGCGTAGTATTAATATAGTAGATCTGATATGAAACCTACCTTCTGTACTTCACTGCTTATACTGACCACCTGGAAGAAAGGTAAGGTCACTAGGAAAGACAATGAAAAGCACATTCTGCTTTGCATATATATGCTGCCTATTCTTTCTTATTTTTTTTGGATAACCAGCATGGATTAATGACAGCTCATGATGATGTTTTATCAGCTTTTATTGTTTTCTCTTGCTTTGTACTCAAGCTTGATGCATCTCAGACATTTAAATAATTATTTGTATGGTTTTAAAATACTAGCTTTTAAAGCATCTTGACCTCTTCTTAGCTACTTCATTGTTGTTATGATTTTCGCATCTTATCCTTGGACAGAGGAAGATATAAATGGATGGAAAATGTTATGGCTCTCATGTGGTTTTATATTTCATATTTTTGATATTTTTAATAAACGCACACATGCATGAAAGCTGAAGGAGTTGGCATTATGATGTAGACTTGCATCCCAAATTTAAACACCAGTGGATTTGTATTTAGGAAACATGACCAACTACAGATGGATTAATTCACATTTGAAGAGGCATACTGGAATCCAGTGTGATTTATTTTTTTTAATTATTGGAGTGTGAATATATACAGAAATGTATGTGTGATATACCTTTTACGATCACAAACTTCTCACTTTTCCTCTGTTTAAGAATTGCATATAGCAGTAACTGCTTGTCATCTTATTTTTTTCTACCTCTAGAAAATGATTTATTAACTAGAGTTCAGCTGCTTTTTGCTTTTGTTGCTGTTGACAAAAGGCGTGTTTAAGCATGTTAAATTGGCTTAATGCAGTGGACAGAAATGATGGCTAAGAGTAGCAGAACTTGCTGCCAATGCATATTTCTCCTTTGTACCATTTATAAGGAATAGTTAATCTGACCTCAAAGAAAAGAAACATATGCTCCACCAGATAAGGTGCTAGAGATGAATGAATCTGTCTGCTATGGAGTATTTGTTGGTATAAGAGAATAAAGAAATGGAGCACGGGGAAAGGAAGACTTACCCAAGTTCCAGAAGGAAAAAAGTAAGAAAATCTGGGAAGTGGCAGAAATGAGAGAAGAAAGGAGGATTAATTAGAAAGAAGGTAGAGGGGCAGATATGGTGGTAGACAGCACTCTATATCCTCACTTATTATTTTGCTCTCAGCTGTGGATCTGGATTGGGATTTGAACAGTGCGAGTCTTTGAATTGGGCTGATAAAAGTAATGCTGCTTAAGGAACATAGTTTAATTATTGACTCACCCTCTTAGGCCACACTACCAATAGAATCTGCTTCTCAGTAGTATGGACAGGTACATCCATATTTTTTGAATGGATATTAATTTTCATTTCATTCCAGTAATAAATACCCAAAAACACAGAAAATTATCTGACTGTCTAGAAGCTTGAGATAAGTGTGGGTTTTTACAGAGGAGGAAATTAAAAAATAAGAGAGGCATGAATAGTAAAGAAAGAAGAAAAAATGAATCTGAAACACAAATCTGAATGCTGTGCAGAGGCAGCATTTCATATCCAGGCTGCTGGCTTCAGTCTCCTTCAAATGTGGTGGTAAAGATAAAGGAGTAAGATGACAGTGTTGATGGACCTGATATGTGGTCACTGGAACCTGATCTGAATTTCATTTTCTTTAAAGCAAACTATCTCTAATCGTCATCCTTCATGGTATGCCTCATGCATCCTACAAGGAACTGGAGGAAGTAGTGGTATATAGACATCATATACACAATTGTTTTTGTTCTTGTCTCTATTTTTTATTTCCCTGACTTTATTATGAACAAATCATTGTGACCATTCAGTTTTTTCAATTCATTCTATTAAAGATATGGAAGTTAATGTATATTTAGTCTCCAAATGGAATTGAAGTATTGGTAACCAATAGCTTGTGAATATGAATTTGGGTATATTTTAAAACATTCTGGTTACTGATTGATTTTGGTAATGGGTTTGTTAATACATTTATTTGAAATAAATAAATTACAAAAGTAACAGTATATAACTCTGAATGTTCAGACTTGCCACTCATATTGATTTGAAATTCCTGCTGAATACTTCTTTATCTTTCAGTTTCTGGCTGAAATCTGTGGCCCATGTGACCACTGTCACCTGTGTATGAGTTGGGATGTGGTGGTGCATATAATTAGCTGTTACTCTATGTCTCAGCACAAGACACTGTCACTGGCAGTGATAGTGTCCCTGCAGTGTTGAAGGACTGGATAGCCACTCTCTTCTTTGCAGCAGGACTAGAATGGGACTGTGTAAGAAGTTCTTCTCTCCACCACAAAGAGGGTTCATCCCTTGGCTCTTCATGCCTCTGCTAGGGATTGTGGTTCTAGAGATCCTTTACATGGTCTGAAAGATACTGGCCCATTTCAAATCTGCCCTTCTCATTCCTTTTCCTACCTTTTCTTTCCCTCCAGTAATTTTGTTAATATGCAGTTACTTCTTTGAGCTAATTTTTTTAGTCCTTCCACAAATATAAAAAGAAAGAAATCAGCAAAATGTGTGGATTTGATTTAGATTGCAGATAATATTGAGATCAGCAATGCTGTTCAGGTAGTTAAACTTTTAAGTACTTCATTAATATGCCACAACGGTGTGGTGTTTTTTTTTTTTTTTTTTAATTTAATGAGAAGTGCTAGAATAGAGATAGCTAATTTCCAAGTGCTGTCAAGACCCAGCTCTGAAGGTGGGTTACTGCATGTCTTCTGTATGTAAGCCTGTTAGTGAAAGGGAAGGGAACTGTACTGTTGCTCAAATGGTAGGTTTGCTGGCCCACCTTTGCTGGCTCTGGATCATCCACAACTTACAGGCAAAGTGGTGTTAATGACAAAATCAATTAGAGGAAAAATCAACAAGGCAATAAAAAGAATTTGTTGATATCAGCAACTAGCAGTCAGCTTGGGTTATTCCCTGAGGAGGGTACAGCCTGAGGCTAAGCCAGAACTAAATGTTTTCATGTTCAGTAGTTTTCTTGTTTTCTACTGGAAATGCTACCATGGCACACAGTTGGCAGCTGTGACCAGACTATGGTTAAACAAACTGACATTTAAGGAGAAGAAAAATTGCTCTGGAAGATGAACACAGACCCACTGACAGGCAAATGTAAACCTCTCACTCAGTGATTGACATTAGCAGTGAAAGCGCCCAGAGACAATTGATAAGTGAGGAGAACTAGATGGCAGTACCTGCAAGCAAGTATGGAGCTGCTCAGTGAGAACAGTTTAGGTTGGCAGCACATTTGAAAACTTTTTAGGGAGGAAAAAGGAAGAGAAATTTTCTGATGTGGCATTTCACTTGCTACTCTTTTTATATAAGGAATATTGGTAATTAAGTCTCAAAATTCAAGCATTAGAAAATTGGGTACTCATTTTTAAGACTGGTGCTTGAGAGGATAGGGATTTCTAGAATATGCAATGGCAACTGAACTGTATTTTCTCCATATTCAAATTAGCATTTAGCTAAGAAAATAACAAAAGAAGTAACAAGAAATATTGCCTCTGCTGACAATTACTTTGGCATCCCAGTGACAGCATTTTCTGTCAGAGAGGCGCTTGTTCAAAAACAGGAACTGAATTTAGTAGAATCTGGGTCAATATGTAAAATATAGCTTAGCTAATGTTGGAAGGGAAACAAATAGGAATGCTCCACCATTTCTTTTTTGCACCTCTGTAGCTATGCAGTGCTGCAATTGTTCATATGCAAGTGTCCAGGTATTTCTATGATCACTCTTTGGAAGAAAGGCTTGCAGTTGGATGAAAAAATAAATAAGAAAATAAAAGCATTAAGTTGTTCTAAATTGCCTTGACAATGTTAATTCAATGTTCTTGAGCCTTTACTTTGCTAAATTTGTTTTCTTATAGCCATCTTAGATATATTAATTTCTCACTGAGGCCAATTGTACATTTGTGTCAGAAGTGCCTTTGGCTGAGATGCCATTATCTGAGTTTTCTGTGACTCAGAAGACTTACCAACTTGCAGTGAAGAAGCAATGGGTTGTCTCCAACTGTGGGAGTCCTCGCTCTCACGTCTCTGTACTCCTCAAGCAGATATTAATGTATGTATTGCAGAAGTGTATGAGTGTATACTTATTTCATCATTACCTCTGGTCTTCAATTAAAATGATGTTAATTTTTTTAATTTCATAAGCAAATATCTCTCTGCTTTCTCATCTGAGAAAATCAGAACATACCTCATGCAGTAAGAGGGACATGAACATGTGTTAGCCTAGTCTATAGGGATGCAAATTTACCCTCTGTGGAAAGGCTCGGTTTTCTGGCGCAGTGTTTCAGAAGGATTGAAATAGAAAGATGCATCTCTGACTTGCTTTGTATCTTTCTCTGCTCTGGAAGGTCTGCCTAAGCCTCCATTGGACCTATTGGCTCACTGATTTGTACCTAATCAGTTGTCTTTTTCTGCACTGTATTTTTCTTTTGACTTCTGCAGGCAACACAAAACAAAAATAACCCCTGAACATGTGTTTTTTATCAGTTGCTTTTTTTCTGAAGCCCTTTTCCTTCTTTTTCTTTTTATTTCCTTTTTTTTTTTTTTCTTCTTCTCAGTTTCCCAGCTGGCAGGTCTGGCATGGTGACATGTGTGTCAGGTTGCATCAGTCACATTGTTCTCTGTGACATCCCTGCTCAGAAGGAGATGTGACTGATGAGAGGTGATGGTGTCACATTGCAACTGAGGCCTCAGCTGGAGAAGTCTGAGCAATTCTCTCGACCTTCATTAAAAGACACATAGTATGGAGAAGCAGAGTGCTGCCTTTCATTCCTCCCTTGCCCCTCACTCCCTTTTGCACCGAACGTTTTGCTAGCGGTATCATCCAAGTTATCCTGGATTCGAAGCTGCTGCAGCTGAAGTAGTTTTAAAGGCACTTAGGGAAGAGCTGCAAGATGTCTGTACCAGTGGCACAGATTTACCCACAGGGAAATAGTTTCTCTGAGTCTGATGAATGTTATCACTGTGCTCTCAACATTTTTCTAACTAATTACAGCCATCATGTTGCAAGCTATTTCTTACAATTAGGGAAATGAATTCAAAGCAATATAATATTCCCTTAAGTTCTACAGGAGAGCTGAAGTACAAGTCTGCAGTTTGCTGAAATCTCTAAATGACAACAGGCAGCTTCAGCTTGCTTCTGTGTATAAGGAGCAGAAATAGGTTTGTGCTGAACATGAATGTTTGAAACATTGATAGCCTTTGTTAATCTTCTAGTAGTTCCTAAAATAAACAGCTAAGACTCCCACTCTACCTGCGATATCGCTTTACACTTGCCTGCAACAGATATAGGCACTACTCTCCTTACTGTATGTTGAAGATGCTTTTTCTATAGTGAGATGTCAGTAGTGTTCTGAGCAGTGTTAGGCAGGATAACTTTCACTGCTTGATCACCAAGTATGCCATTTAATGCTTTGGGTACCTCCATGCAATCCTTTTCAGGTGAATGGCTGCTTGATTCCAAATGACGTTTTTCAGTTGCTTTTCTGATTGACAGTGGTACAAGATGAGCTACCCACACTGGAGGAAAAAAAAAAAAAAAGACCAAAAAACATTATTCTGCAAACCATTACAGTTATGTATTTTTTTCTGGCATTTCACTAGTAAATAAGACAACTGGAAATTAAGCAGCATGGTATTTATTACTGCTAGTAACAGTCTGGATGAATTGCCATATATTTCCATTCCTGAATTCTGACCCTGACCAAAAAGTTTCCTTTCCTTCAACTCCAAACACAGGATTTAACTTGGATTGACATCTGTTTTTTATTAACTTGCACCTCTTTCAGCTTCTTCATTTTTTTTTGTCCTTAAGATAAAATACTTCTGATTCTCCACTTCTTCATTTTCTTTGATGCTTTTCTGGAACGTAGAATCATAGAATGACCTGGGTTGAAAAGTCCACAGTGATCATCTAGTTTCATTCCCTCTGCCATGTACAGGGCCGTCAACTACTAGACCAAGCTATCCATAGCCACTTCCAGCCTGTCCTTGCATGCCTCCAGGGATGGGGCATCCACAACTTCCTTGGGCAACCTGTTCCAGTTTGTCACCATCCTCTGTGTGAAAAACTTCCTCCTAATGTCTAACCTAAGCCTCCCCTCAGATTGAAACTATTCCCCCAGGTCTTATCACTATCCATCCTCATAAACAGTCATTCTTCCTTCTGTTTATGTGCCACCTTCAAATACTGGCAGGCCATAGTGAGGCCACAACATTATTCTTGTGCATTTATTTCTCAGTCTAAGACTTACTGTAAATTTTTCCCTTTTCCCTCATACTTTCATTTTACCATCTTATTAATTTTTCCTTTATTTTGACTATTTCAGTCTTCCTTGATTTCATTGCTGTCTTTTTCTGTCTCTGACTCTGAATATATTCTCTTTTTTATTTACTGTCTACTATTAGCGTAGAAGTATAGAATATAAAATAAGGAATTTGAAGGGCCCTCTAAAGGTTACCTGATACTGTCCTCCAACATGAAAGTCACCTTAGAGTACTCTGAAGCATTGCCTTTTTCGTTTTTCTGCTTATTTATATGTGCATTTATGAACCTGTGGTGTGAACAGGAGCAGTCTATGGCTTCCAACCCAAGGAAGTCTACAATTGTGTGAATAGCTGCACATCTATGAAGAGAAAGTCTTGGTTTTGCTTCAGCATCTCTGCCTTGCTGGTTGCTGAGCTATTCACATCCTGGAGTCAGGTTTCCTTAAGAAAATACTGCTAGGAATTGATGATCTCTGTGACTGAACTGCCATGAGGATGGATTTATTGAACTGTGCTGTCAAACTATTGCAGTAGACTCAGTTGACAAAGATTTTATGAGATCAGAAGCTCTTCTAAACAGTATTTGCTGCAATGTGACACACTTGTAGGTTTTCTGCAAGAATTTGCCTGGCATGTCTGGGTATGCTGTGTTTGTGTGGTCAAGCAAGATAAAACTACAGTGTTCATTCTTATAGGAAACAGAGGGGAAGGTCTGTAAGCAGTCCAAGATTACTCTTTCCTCCCCTCCTACAAATGGTCTGCTTGTCTTTTTTTTGGTTGTTGTTGTTTTTGCTTGTTTTCAGAACACAGCTTTTCTGCTTTTCTATCTCAACATGTGTTTATGAACCAATGCTGCAGATCCCGTCACGTCAGGCTGCCCTGTTTTGAACCAGATTCTAGGACCTCTTCTCTAGAGATGACTGCCAAGGAGGGTCTGTCCTGACCCTGATAGGGAGAAGGCCAGCTAGGGCTCTGCAATGGCTGGGGAGTGAGAGACTGCATGCAGGATATCAGTCTTTCTTCAGTCTGTAGCTTCTGTTTTCTGCTTGGCTGCGCTCACCGCCTTTCTACTGCCCCTGAGGGAATTGCCCTCTTATTACCACAATTACAATCTGTACACATTTCATTAAACTAATATCGTTTCGCACAGGCTTTCTCCACCGAAGCGCACAGCTGGAGGCCCATTTCTTTTCCTCAGCTTAAACACTTTGACAGGTTAAGAAAGCTATTATGGCTGAATAACAGGTGTTGCAAAACAATGTGCATTTGATGTTTAAATGAGAGAGCTTCTTTATTGACTGCCTTTATTGCAGCTAAGACTCTCCTTTTTCAAGATGACTGGATTTTTATTGGTTTTACTGCTTTTTAAAGTGTATTCTGTTGTTTCAGAATAGGTCCGAAGTGACTATCTGGAGATATTTGTTATTCTGATGTCTTTTCTTATTTGCAGTTTTTTGTCTTCTTATCCAGGTAAAGGGTACTGGTGCTAAATAGAACAATTTTATTTTGTCTCTGCCTCACACCAGTACTATGTTTCTTGTTCCTGGGCAGCTCCTGGTGGAGCTATAAGCCATTCTGCTCCATTACTTTGTCTTTGCTTATTATTTCTAATCAGATTTGATTCATTTTCCATCTATCTAGCAACCTATATGTAGTGTTTGTAACTGGGCTTTAGAATGGTTTGCAGAGATTTTTGGAGCATTGTTGGAGATGCAGGCATATGCTGTTTGCTCACTGCCAGTGAAAATACATGCCCAAATCCATCATATTTGTTTTGGAATCTCACTGCTTAGTCTGTGGCACTAGGTGATGTGATTAATATAGTGTGTTCACAGATGATCTAACAAGTAGCATGGCCTTGTGAAATGAGTTTGAGTATCAGCAATTCAATGTGGCATTTAATTAAACACAACCCATATATTATAACTAAAAGAAAAAAAAAAAAAAAGAAGAAAACAGGTTTCTTGACATTAAAAAAAAAAATCAAAATTCTCTCTAAAAATAATTAATTTTTCTTGTTGTTGTTGTTTTGTTTTTGTTTTTCTACTCCCTCCTCTTTTCTGGCACTGGTTGAATTTTAGTAAATGCTTTTTGAAAGCAGAAGGACATTTTCTTTTCCACTCCTATAAGTAGATTTTGCCTAATGTAAGCAGTTTTAAGTAGGACCTGGACAGAAGAAAATATTACTGTGTACTAGAACAAGGACAGTGTGGCTATAGCCTCATATTTCTTTTCTATTCTGCTATCTGTTTTGACTTTCAAGTTTGCAAAAAAGGAAATTAATAAGGTGACATTTAACAGCCAGACGTTTGGAGAGACTAAAGCATTACTGGGGAGGAGGAGAAGAATCTGTTCAAATCAGATTCATTTAAACTCCGTCTTTTCTCTGCCTGTAATTCCCAGCAGGAATTTAG